AAAAAAAAAACTTGGGCTCAAGCGATCCTCTTGCCTTAAGCCTCCCGAGGCAAGAGGATCACCAACACCCAGCTATTTTTAGAGACAAGGTCTGGCTCTTGGCTCAAGCTGGTCTCAAACTCATCAGCTCAGGTGATCCACCCACCTTGGCCTCTCAGAGTGCTGGGATTACAGGCATGAGCCACTGTGCCCTGCTGTCCAGGCAGGTCTTGACAGATTCTCTCCTTGCATGTCTCTTAGCCAGCTCAAGCTCGTTATATCCAAAGTGGGCTTCTTGATTTTGTACCTGGTCCTCTCCTAGATTTAATTATTTCTGAAAATGACACCATTATTCACTAGCTACCTACTAAAGCTAGAAACATGCGAGCCGTCCTTTATTTCTTCCTTCATGTTCCCCATTCAATCCATCAAGTCTGTGCTTTCAAGACTATACCTTGCATGTTGTCCATTTCTATCTCTGCTGCATCCAGGTTTCAGTAGCACACCCTCCAAACCAAGTACACTGCAGCCAAAGCCAACTTGTTATGAATTATGAATTGTATCATGTGGCTCCTTTGTTAAAATCCTCCAGTACTGTGCCAGACTTCCTGCCCATGAGGCCCAGTGCAACCTCTCTCACCCTGGAGGCACCTGGGCTGGGTCTCCTCTGCCAGGACCATTGATGTACACAACTTTGCAGCCTCTGATCTCAACGTCATCTCCCACAGGTCCAGAACACCACCTCTCTACTGAATCTCTGAGCCATCAAGTTTTGTCACATGGTATAGCATGCCTGTCACTGGTGACCTTTTCTGTTTCTTGGATATATTGTGTGTTACTCTACTAGATGGACTGGCGCAGGGACTGTGTCTGTTCTAGGCACTTCTGATTTCCTGCGCCTGCCAGCACCAGGTCTGTGATGTAGATACTTTGTACATACCATTTTATTTGGCGTTTTCTTTCACTATGTTTTTTTTAGTTATTAGTGGTTGCTCTGAGAACTACAGGTAACAGCTTATTATAACACTCTAGTTCAGATTAATGCTAACTGAATGTCAGTAGCGCACACCCACACCCAGCTTCTATACACAGCGCTGTCCCCCTCCACCCCGTTCCGTGCTGCTGTTGGCATACAAATCACATTCTTCTATACCATCTTTCTATATACACAGGTTCGTAATTGCTTTGTTAAGTTGCCTTTTAATCAACTGGGGGAGGGGGTTACAATTTCCTATTTGCGGGAGGCACCTGTGGCTCAGTGAGTAGGGCGCCGGCCCCATATACCAAGGGTGGCGGGTTCAAACCCAGCCCCGGCCAAACTGCAACAAAAAATAGCCGGGCATTGTGGCGGGCGCCTGTAGTCCCAGCTACTTGGGAGACTGAGGCAGAAGAATCGCCTAAGCCCAGGAGTTGGAGGTTGCTGGAGCGACTCCGCTGCACTCTACCGAGGGCGAAAAAGTGAGACTCTGTCTCTACAAAAAAAAAAAAAAAAAATTTCCTATTTGCCTATATGGTCACCTTAACAGGTAATGTATTTTCTCATTTGGATTCCAGTTACTGTCCAGGGCCCTTTTCTCTCAACCTCAAGGACTCCACTGGTATTTCTTGTAGGGCAGGTCTGCCAGTGATGAGTTCCCTGGGAATATCTTCCATTTGTCAGGATAGTCTTGTTGGGTATAGAAATCTCAGTGGAGAGTTTCACTTTCAGCACTTTTCCCACTGAACTTGTTCAGGTCCTTCAGGAGCAGCACTCACCCTGTTGGCCATTTGTGTTTGCAGGAACATGTTCACTTCTCAGGGCTCCCAGTGCATCTCATTTGCCATTTTTTTTTCTTGTAAGTTTTTTGTTAGCTTATTTGCTCTAGTGTCAACCAAACTGCTGCTGACTGATGAATGTCCCCTGGGAAGAGGACTTGGTACTAGTGCCAAGTCAGGCTGCAAACAAGCCTGGCAGGTGGATTTTCCAGGCATCCACTAGACAGGGCAAACTAGGACACTGCTCTGAGAACTGAGAAAGAGCTCTGAGCCCACCCTGCCCCTCCAGGAGCTGCTGGAGCTGCTGGTTTTACAGCAACGGTTCTCAATCTGTGGATCGAGACCCCTTTGGGGGTCAAATGACCCTTTCACAGGGGTCGCCTAATACATCCTGCGTATCAGATATTTACATTACGATTCATAACAGTGCAAAATTACAGTTATGAAGTAGCAGTGAAAATATAGTTGGAGGTCACCACAACATGAGGAACTGTATTGAAGGGTTGTGGCATTAGGAAGGTTGAGAACCACTTTGACAAGATGGCTGTTCTTGGTTCCAAAGCTCTCAGGGAGCTGAGGGGCAGAGGGCTGGTGAGCTAGGAATAGAGCAGATAAAAACACAACACTCAGTGGTTTTTTTTGTTTTTTGTTTTTGAGACAGAGCCTCAAGCTGTTGCCCTGGGTAGAGTACTATGGCATCACAGCTCACAGCAATCTCCAACTCCTGGGCTCAAGCGAGTCTCCTGCCTCCACTTCCTAAGAAGCTGGGACTACAGGCGCCCGCCACAATGCCCGGCTATTTTTTGGTTGCAGCCATCATTGTTGTTTGGCAGCCCTGGCTGCTGGATTCAAACCTGGCTGGATTCAAACCCGCCAGCTCAGGTGTACATGGCTGACACTTTAGCCGCTTGAGCCACAGGCGCTGAGCCAACACTCAGTGTTTTGACATCCAGCT